TATTGCCAATGACAAAATCTGAGCTCTCAAGCGAAAAATTAGAATTCTGGTAAACTTGTGCCCACCATTGTGAGCTGACAGCTTCCCGATACTTAAAGACTCATCTGCTGAGGCAGGGGGTTCATACTCATGCGCATGCTTTGCTCATAGTACATAAAGCAACATGTCAGCATCGGGGTTCTCTCCGTAACTCAGCAGGTCCCTCTTTTCCAAATGCCCAATGCATTCTATTCCAAACCAGACCTGGGTGCAAGATCCAGTCAAACTGTAATCTAGACCAGCGGTTTTCAGACAGTGAGCTGCAGGAACGTTTAAAACATGCCATGCCTGCCTATTGAGTCAGGGGCACTGACCTCTTTTCCCTCAGGTTGTCAAATAAGAAAATGACAACAGCCAACACAACAGTAGCTGTCTGGTGTAAATGAATCAAAATTAACTTGTTTGTGTGTTTTTTTGTCAGATAAACAAAAAAATATAACCTATTTTTTGGTGTGCCGCAGAATTTTAGTAGTTAGTTTATGTGCCATGAGATGAAAACAGTTGGCAATCGCTAATCTAAACCAACAGTTTTGATGTGAGCAGAGTACAAAAAGTTCATGACATGGATTCCGTTTCCACGTTACTAGTCTTAAGCTCCATCGCTTGCTGAGTTTCAGTCACTATCGAAGAATCCCCGAAATTATAGTCTATAACAGCACCCCCGCTTCTCAGGCCTCATCGCTGGATTTCCTTCACTTACTTCAACCAAAATGACAAAGACATGTCCTATGAAGCCAGACATAGAAATGTAGAATGATGCTGACATTTCATCAATTATTTTTCTTTTGGAAGTATGGTTATTTCCCATTAAAATATGCTATTCATGTCCACCTATAATGGGTCTATTATTGGTAGTTTTCAATGAACTAAACAAATATTTCTAAAATTTCTTGGTTTTAATTTCTAATATAACTACCAATGAATATAAACTTCATAAACAAAAGTTCTTTACGGTCCTCAGTAATTTTTAAGAACGTCAAGGCATCCAAAGATCTAAAGGTTTAAGAATCACCAAGCTGTGATAATAACTATTTAAACACCCACTCAACGACTTCCTGCTTATGCTGTGCTAGGAACTAGAATATTAGAGATAAAGGCACCAGCCCGACATTCAAAGAATTTCCAATTTCGTTAAAATTCTCACTATTAAGAATGTTACTGTAAAGAAAAACTTCATTTTAAGTCTCTTAGAGGAAAGTCTTTTGCATCTTAATGTCACCAATGGCAATCAATATTATAGACGGCACATAGCTGATGCTTAAATACTGAGGGTTTTGTTCTGAATCTACATAACATGCATTCGATCGGTGCATCGGAAAGCCGGGCACGTTGTCACGTGGTGAGGAAATGTGCACTAGCTAACCATGCCCACACACGTTGTGGACACCGACTGCCCATTACAGTGAAAGCGTGCTGCCACCCTCAGTTAAAAGGCCATCTTAGCGCCGTGAAGGCCCTAAAGGTACAGCGACAGTGCGGCCCTCTGAATGATTCTTGAGCTTTATATTAAGTTGGATTTTTAAGTCATATCCCAGTTTTTAAGATAAATGTATTCTTCCAGACCCTTATGTCACATAGTCTGGTTAATAGGATAAGGGAGAAAACAGCAGCTTATTTCAAGAATCTGGACTGTCATCATATGAAACACAGATTTCCTGATGCTGTTTCCACAGCTCCAGAAGGCAGGACCAGAAAGTGGAGACTGTCAGGAGCCCGAAGAAAGATGCCATACATATAAGGGCGGTAGCTTAATTATCAATAGAAATGATGCTTAAAGGTCAGAGGTCAATCTAGATAAGAGGCTCTCAAGTAATTTTCTGCTCTAATCCAAAGGAGACAGGGTCCTCCCACCAGGAACGGCGGGAGCTGAAACAGAGGGTGCGTGAGGGTGGGGTGAGGGCGGCAAGTGCCTGTCCAATCCAGGATGAGCTCTGGGCAGGATCCGAGAAGGCCTCTTCTAATTCTGTCACTACCTGGGGTTTTCAAAGAAGGATCCCCGCAAACTTCTGGGGAGCATTTAGTGAGCGAGAGGGGTACTTTTCACACCCTTACTTCTCATGTAGCTATACCAGCAACTGAAAGGGAGTGGGAAGTATAAAACACGAAGGCTGAGATTACACACAGCTCCTCCGATAGAACCACCCGTGTCTGAGCCACACCAGTAGTGTTGGACTTGCATGTAAGCTTCTTTGACCATTTTCCTGGATTTCTAACCCACTAGCTTGTTCTCTGTACCTTCTACAAAAATGTTTCTAATTACTGAATTGAAAAAGCAATAGGAAAGCAACTCTAACCGAACTGAACCAAAAGACACAATTTAGAATGAGAGCAATGCACTTCACACATTTGTATTCCTTTCCTTCTATATATCCATCACCTCCAACGTCATGCAAATTCCACCTCTGCCTACGGGACTAATGCCACTCTGTGAATATTTCCCCCAGAAGTTCTACGAAGTGGCAAATGCAAACAGTAACCGAACGGGCATTACCCTGAGGGCAAAGAGCCTTCCTGGTTCATTTTATCCCGGAATAAGGACTACATTCGGGCTCTGGGGCCCCGCCACTCTGAATTCTGGCCTCGGAGCTTGCTGTTCTTGTTATGCACTCTGGCACTAGTTCACCGGCTCTTTCCAAGGTTTGGTTCTGAACCCAGCATGCGTACACATTTAAAAACTGCACACTACACGCGTGCAGTATATTCACTTACTTTACATTTCTAACATCCCTCCCAAGCTGTGGGAACATCTGGTGTTTTGCAAATGTGGTCAAATCCAGCGGCATTTCCTTTTCCAAATGTGTCCTCGGACATGTGCAGGTTGCTCTGCAGTTTGAATTTTATTCTCTTTCTCTCTGCAGAACAGCATTGAGCGATTTCAAACGTGCACTGTATCTAAACTTTATACTTTTCTCTCTGGATGACAACTAAAAAAGCTTGCCAATTCATCAAACGAGGGAAGATACAAAGCTAGACCGAAGGTATAAAATTGATTTCAATGTCTCTGCCTCACTTTTCTACAGCTTAACCTGATGCAGCAGAAAACCAGCTCCTGGGACCGTTGACAGCAGCATGTCTTGCCGAGGATGACACCACCTGCACTAAGAGAAGCACAAGCCATAATCCACTGACGCGGTCCGCACGGGGCAGCCCTGCATCGGGAAAATGCACAGATGTTCACGAACAGCTGCATCATGCATCTGTAGTTCGTTAAGAAGCTAAGGTCCTGAGAATGTGCTATAATTTAAAACCATGGCATTAAAACAGCATGACAACTCAAAACCTACGTGGACTCTACATCCAATTCTTACATTGAATCGTGAGTAAATAATTGCTGTTGGGAAGTCTAGAACCATCTGTCCACCTCCACACACACGTTCGCAGTTAGCATATGGCCTTGGCTGGTCATGTTGCTCTGTTCCCGCCCTCACATAAAACAGTTAAAATTCCTTCAGCCTGAGGGGAGCGAAGGCCCTAACCCTCCACCTTCCCCGTCTGTTCCTGCCTCATCCCTGCAGCCAGGTCCCAGGTCCCTCCCTCCAGCGTATTCATCCTGCAGTGCTAATGGACTTCCAGCCTCTTCCAGGTCTTGCAGATCCAAAACCAATGTGTGCTGGACTCCTGCCTTGTCCCCCACATTGCCAGGATCCTGCCTGGCCTTCCTCATTCAGGCTCAGCCCGTTTGGACTGAAGATGCTCGGGACTCCTGGTCCCCCGCTCCCCCAGTTCCCAGAATGGCCCCTGACTGCTGGCTCCAGGACTTCTTAGCTACAGTGCAGTTCCAGGGTCAGAGCAGAGGCCCCGGAAGAAGCCTGAGGGGTTTAAATTGTGGCTCCTGTTACCAGATGACTTTGGTTGAACTCACCTATTAAAACCAGAGTAACACTATTATGTGGTTCATAGATTACTCAGCCACAGCCTCTGCCTCCAGGAGGCAGAAAGCCAAACAGATTCATGAGGCTAAACCACAGAACCCTAAGTGGCAGGTTCAAAGGTCAAAGCCGGGTTTACCAAACTTGTGCTCTTTTTAAATATATCATACTATCATACTACCTCCCTTTAAAACGAGCCTTATTTTCTTCCTTAAAAAAACAAAAACACAAAATTGATGATCTCCTTCTGATAGTAGTGGTTGTAAAATTTAAAACCATTACACTAATAAGAGAACGAAGTCATTGGTTATCCACAACCATAAACCCAGCAAGTTAGTTAAAACTAGGCTTCCCCGGAGATGTTTGAAGCTGTACTTGTGCCAGCTTCCAAACGAATGACTTCAACTCTTAGCCTTTCTACTCCATTTTCAGGATAACATGAGCTATAACAACATTCTTGGGGTGGAGTACCAGGCGGGCTTGCCAACCTGGGGGATGAGACAGCAAGCGGCACAGCCAGGCCGGAGGAGACGAAAAGGAGGCTGCGCGAGAGCACGTTCAGCAGCGAGACAGAGGCGGGGGTTGTAGGAGGGGTCATGCCAGTGAGAGATTTACAGTGAGGTCGGGGCGAGGGGGCAAGAAGGAAAGACAATGGCCCGCGTTATCTGTTCGGAGGGAAACTACGCATTGCTTAGGGATCTAGAGCAGGAACTAGGGCCCAGTTAAAGGGCTCAGCCCTGAGCCTGGAGTAGACACTGGAACATGCAACCCCCACTCCCACGGATGATTCTATCACCAAGTCGTATACTCCGTGGGATTCGTAGGGAATTTCCTCCGGGCTCACTTTAGCCACAGCGAAGTTGCTACGGATGCATGCGAGGTGGGCTGGGCACTGGAGGTTCCTCCCACCTGCCCACTGGAGAGCGGGATGCAGTCTTTACTATGCAATGCCATGTTATGAAAACTAGAACACATCTGAACTGTAACTATTCCGCATTTCCAGGAAGGAAATAAAAACAAAATCTACCGAATGTAAGAGCAGCTTTCATGCCTCCTAAAACGTCCCATCCACTCTACGCGGTCGTTGGTTACCTTGGTCACAGCTTCTGGAGAAAACGTAATTGCATCCAGCACAGTGATGAGGTCCCCCGGGTGCAGGCGATCAAAGTACTTGGTGCAGGCCTCGAAGGCGCGCAGCCACTCGGGCGGGGACGCCGGGGCTTCTTTGATGAGCTGAGGGTCTCCGGTCCAGAACAACTTCTGTAACCAGAGGGTGTACAGGGAGCTCGGGGACAGCATCCGTCCGTCCTCGCCCGGGATTTTGGGAACGAGCTTGGAAATAGATAAGATATTCTGACTTGAAAGAACCGGCTGCAGTGCGTCCAGGGGGCTCGTGCCTTCCTCGGTCAGTTTTTTGTAGTTCAGACCTATTGGAAAGAGAGGGAAAAAGAGAGTAGTTCTCTCCATCACAATGCAGAGGCTTCGCGCACACCCATCGGCCAGTGCAGGTGTAGCATATCGCTCAGTCGCCCGTGACATAGACCAGAAGATCTGAGTTCTGGGCTCAGCCTGCAATGTGATCAACTCTGCAATCCCGATGAGCCACTCACTCCCGTGAGCCTCCGCCTCCTCTCCAGCCACTGGAGACACCGGACCTCCTGGCTCCTGCCACCCCTCTGTGGCCTTGTTTTCCCCGATCAGTGCCCACACCAAACCGCACGGGTTCATGTGTATTCACCTGGCATCTCATCAAGGACTTGAGGGCTGACATGAATCGCACCCCTTGTCCCCTGTCTCTACTCCATGTCTAATTTGGTTACTCAGTAAACTTTATACTGATACACTGAAGGAAATTCTCATAATTGTCATGAATATTAAATATAGACTTGAAAGTGCCCTGTAAATTATAAAGTACCACAGAGATTTGAGGGGTGTTAGTGTGTTTAATTTTCTTCGTATGAGTATGACTATAGATGGACACCATTCTAAAGATTCCCACAATTTATCAAAGATTCAAAGGCTCTTACTTTAATGGTCTCCACATATGCTTTAAACATATAGGCTTCACTCAGGTGTAATTCTGCCAAATGCCTACTGTAAAGTGTGTCAGTCTTATCCTGTACAAATCCTATATAATAAAAGGCTTATATGCAAATATGACTGAATGGTGGAACTACCAGTCACTATAATGCGCACTGACCACCAGGGGACAGACACTCAATGTAGGAGCTGTCCCCTGGTGGTCAGTGCACGCCCATAGGGGGAGCGCCACTCAGCCTCAAGCCGGGCTCATGGCTGGTTAGCACAGTGGCGGTGGCGGGAGCCTCTCCCGCCTCCACAGCAGCGCTAAGGATGTCCAACTGCCAGCTTAGGTCCACTCCCAGGACATCCCCCGAGGGCTCCTGGACTGCGAGAGGGCACAGGCTGGGCTGAGGGACCCCCAAGTGCACAAATTTTGTGCACTGGGCCTCTTGTAAAATATAACCAATGGGAGTAGGAAAAAAAACACCTCTGGAGTCAAAACTTTAGATTTTAGTATCAGGTCTCCTATAAGTCACTGCGACTTTCAATTGGTATCTTGGTTTCTCTGAATTCCCCCAACTGTGAGTGAAGGAGTTGAAAATACAATAACTAAAGACAATTAGCATCAAAATCCTATGGTTTCAGATTTATGCCAGCCATGGTGCACGGACATGATTGTGTACAGAAAAATAATCCCTAAATTTAATTTCAAAAATGGCCATGTTGCTCAGTTCGTTAGAGCACTGTCCTGATACACCAAGGTTGTGGGTTTGATCTAGGGTCAGGGCACATATAAGAATTAACCAATGAATGATTAAATAAGTGGAACAAATCAATGTCGATCTCTTTCCCTCTCTCTCTCTCTGTGTGTGTGTGTGTATAAACTGAGTGGCCAGATTATTATGACCACCTGACGTTTGTAGGCAAATTAGCCGTACACTGCATCGTATGGAATATGGAAGCTGAAGGCCTGTTCGAACACCTTTGTGTTTGCAGTTACCAAGATAAAATGTCTCCAATTCGCACAGGAACACAAGGATTGGACAGTTGAGCATTGGAAAAAAGTCATGTGGTCCGATGAATCACATTTCCAGTTGCATCATGCAGATGGCAGAGTGAGAATTTGGCGGAAACATGAAAGCATGAAAGCGTGCACCCATATGCATGAGTAACCCTTCAAGCTGGTGGGGGCAGTGTTATGGTTTGGGGAATGTTTTCCTGCATGATTTGGGCCCTTTAATTCGTGTGGAACAACGTCTGAATAGCACAACATACCTAAGTATCGTTGCTGATCAAGTTCATCCTATCCTGTTGATGGTGTATCCCAATGGAAATGGCTTCTTCCAACAAGACAATGCGCCCTGCCACGCATTGGTTTTCAAGTGGTTTCAAGAACATGACAGAGGCTTTACCTTGCTTAGGTGGCCCCCACAATCACCAGATCTCAATCCAATTGAGCATTTGTGGGATGAAGTTAAAAGAGCCATCAGGCAGCTGGTTCCACAACCATGATCTCACAGAACTGGACAGTGCTATTCATCAGGCATGGTGTCAGAGTCCTCACATCAGCTTCCAACATCTCGTGGAGTCAATGCCAAGAAGAATTGCCGCAGTACTGAAGGCAAAAGGTGGCCCAACAAAGTACTGATGGGGTGGTCATAATAATCTGGCCATTCTGTGTGTGTGTGCATATGTGTGTGTGTGTATATATATATATATATATATATATATATATACACACACATATATACATATATATATACATACATATATATCCCACGTTCAAAGGCTGTTAAATCACGTTGTTTAGCCATATCTTCAGAAAAAAATCACTTCTACTGTCGTGGTAAACAACCTGCTTCCCTATTTATAATGGTCTGGCCCTCTAGCAACTTCAGCGCGAAATTATAATTTGCCTACAAATGTCAGGTGGTCATCATAATCTGGCCACTCAGAGTGTGTGTGTGTGTGTGTGTGTGTGTGTGTGTGTGTGTGTGTGTGTATGTATTTACTATTATTCTTATTTTTTAAATGAATTGAAGCTGGAAAATGATCATCTGACCTGATGCAACCACCTTGAACTTCTTCAGCAGCCGAATGTGGGTTTCCGGTTTAATGGTGTACTTCCCCAGATCTGCGCAGCCGCAGCCTTCCAGGAGGGTGAAATAATACAGCAGCCTCTCGTGGTCCATGCCCCCGATGGTGGGGTAGATATACTTGACCATGTGCTTGTGAAAGGCTTCAGGGTCTGTCTTCAAAGTCTCAAAGAGATGAAGGGCTTGGGCTCGATTTTCTATTTCTACTGTGGACAAACTAAAATTAAGAGACAAAAAAATTATGTTAAAATTTGGTTCCTTTATTAAACAAGATTTTTTTTTTTTAATCTGGGAGGAAAGGCTACTTCTTTTATTTTTTTCTAATATTTTTTTATTGATTTCGGAGATGAAGGGAGAAAGAGATAGAAACATCTATAATAATAAAAGCGTAATATGCTAATTAGACCAGATGTCCTTCCGGACAACCTTCCAGACAAAGCCAGGGCTGCGAGGGAAGCCAGGTCCCAGGTGCCTGCCAGCAGCTGGAGGGAAGCCCAGGTCCTGAAGGGAAGCCAGTGCTGGCAGCCGGGGGAAGGAAGGCCTACTCTTTTTTTTTTTATACATATTTTATTGATTTTTTACAGAGAGGAAGGGAGAGAGATAGAGAGTCAGAAACATTGATGAGAGAGAAACATTGATCAGCTGCCTCCTGCACATCTCCTACTGGGGATATGTCCGCAACCCAGGTACATGCCCTTGACCGGAATCGAACCTGGGACCTTTCAGTCCGCAGGCTGACGCTCCATCCACTGAGCCAAACCGGTTTCGGCGGAAGGCCTACTCTTGCATGAATTTCGTGCATCAGGCCTCTAGTCAATGATGAAAGAGAATCACTGACCAGCTGCCTCCTCCATGGCCCACACTGGGGATTGAGCCCACAACCTGGGCATGTGGCCTGACCAGGTATTGAACCGTGACCTCCTGGTTCAGAGATCGACGCTCAACCCTGCAGCCACACCAGTGGATAGGAAAGGCTACTTCTTACAAGCCCCTTCCTCCTGCCTAATCAGAGACGGTGAGCACCACGATGCAGGTGGTTTTTATAAAGGAAAACCGGTGTATTGAATGCCTCTATTGCTCAATGCGATGTTCATGTGCTCTCCCGCGGGTCTACAGCATCCCCGCAGGCATTATTCACATGCCTGCAGTTGGGAGAGGTGCCCAATGCTTAACAGCCAGGAAATGAACCCAGATCTGCCGGCTGCCACTCGGCATTATTTATTCATGTCACAAGACAAATGTAAAATCGGAGCTTCGTTACAGAAATGTAAACAACCTTATTATTTCAGCGACTTAGGAAGTCGTGAGGGGCGAAAACAACCCCAACTTTTAGGCCTAAATATGACATCCAAGAGCCTTATCTTGATACTGGATAGACCCAAATTTGATACAATGCTCAAATACAATTAAAATCAGCAAGAATAGGTATTTTCACTTTCACTTGAATTAGCTGTAGTTAGGAATGCCACTTAAATAAAAACACATCTTATTATTTTCATCTTGACTTAGATGTCTTTACAATATAATAAAAATGTTCTCTAATGTTAAACTGTCAGAAAAAAATGTTAAGGAGCTGTGTTTGGCTGATCAATGTGTATTTTGGGGGTGAGAGGAGGGCTTAATGCTGGTCTTGAGTTTCTCCCGCACAGAGCACAGAGCCCAGAGCCCAGAGCCCAGCCGTGTGGGTCCCATGTCCAGGTCAGTGAGGCAGCAGCCCCTCCCCACCCCCCGGGCAGTGCCTGGCGCAGTGAGTGAGACTCCGGCTGTACCTCGCGAAGTCAGGTTGTACCTGGTTTCAGAGCAACTCCCGGGAAACATGACTCCCTTTTTACTGGAATTCCCACCTTCAGAAAGTGCCAACACGAGTTTTTGGCTTATACAGATAAAGTGAACACAAATTATGTCTTACAATTTTTATGAGTAGTAGGGATACTTAGGATGACAGCTCCAAACTATAAAGTCCAAATAGCAGGTAATTTAAAAATGCTCTTTGACCTTTCACTTCAAGAGAAATGCTATTTTTCCATTAAGACGCGATTCAAACATTTACAAAAATATCCTGAGCTATACAATGTCCCTGGTCTTAAAGATCTCCCTCTCTGTCTCCTCTGACAGCCTTCCACCCAGGACTCAGACTCTTTAACTGTGTCCGACCGAGTCTGTCCCCTCGCTAGGTGGTGCACCACTTGAGGGCAAAGATGATACCATATCTCCTTTATCTTTAGCTTCTCAGGGCCGAGCACCAGTGTGTGGAACACAGGACACACTCAACGCCCGTGCCACACAGGCGGGTGGAAGCACAAACCCTGGGTGTCCTCCACACTGGGCTGGCGCAAAGATTTCCATCAAGCTCTCACCCAGCAGTCTGCAAACCTAGTTGTTACAAACACTCAGAGCTGAACAGCAATGCTAAACAAGAGGATGGGCTGACAAATGCATGCAATTATATTCCAATCAAGAGCAGGGCCACTCAAGCTTTAACTTGAAAAACAGTCGCTATCAATGATAAAAGGTTTCGTGACAGAAGCACCTGAGTTGGCACCAGAGAAAGGAATGGAGTGAAAATAACAGGAACAAAGTTTCCAGACAAGAAAGCACAGGCCTATACAAGACACGGTGAGGGTAGTGGGTGGCAGGTCAGAAAAAATTCTTGACACTCTCACTATTCAAAATACGCAGTATATCATCTGAGAAAGACTGTGTACACAGCAGAATATGAAAGCGGCTCAGAATTTGATTCCCTTCATAATTTGCAGAGTGAAGTCTGAACACAATGGTGTGAAGCAGTAAATACTACCCCACGTCACACCACCGAGATGAGTCGTTTCGATGGAGCTTTGCAGGCAGAACCACATGCCCAATGGAGAAGGGAAAAGCTTGCGCTCACTGTGCTGGTTGCTGGGCCGGTTACATCTAAGTACCCACCAACCAACAGGCGAGCGATCAGAGGGGTTAAGTGACTCCTAAGACGGAGTCAGATCGGCCTGGACTCGTGTGGCTTTGTTCACCTTATCGCTGTGCAGCCGTGGACGGATAAGGCCTTGTGCCCGCGTCACAACCATTTCAAAAGCCGATTCTTTGTGTAACACTGGCCTTTGCTCTCTCTCCAAGAGCAGTAGTCTCCGAGTTCTCCTGTCACACCGCATTCCTAACGAACCTCGGAGACAAGCATTCAAGATAGACTCATCCACAAAGTGGACGGACAGTGACTAAACCACAACAGTTTGACTTCCTTTGTGTTCGACTTGATTCTGAACACCGTCTCTCTCAATCAACTTTACTTTCTCGCCCACCCACGTATTCTTCTGCGCCCACAATTCAGTTTGCCTGATGTGCAATTTTACCTAATTATCTTGTCAAGAGAGATACTGGAATACCTTTCCTGACACATGATAAATACCAGAACCTCCCTCTTCAGTAAATTACAACGTGCTAAGATCTTCTATAGATGCCAGCAATCAATAACCCATTCAACAGCTCCCCCTGAAAGAAGCTGTGATCTTCCCTTTGGAAAAAGAAATGAAATCTCTACTTAGAAAACAATTCCAAAGAGCCCACATTCAAGAGTAGGAAGAAATACCAGGAAACCGCCGGGGACTTTTCACTCAGCAAATTAATGATCACCCTTAGAAACTGTTTAAGGCTTTTTCTTGAACCAAGATTTAGCTCCAACAGCAGCTTATACATTTATATAATGCATACTTAACTTTCAGAGGTTAACTGCAGGAAGAAATCAGCAGTAGTTGTACTCAAAGCACAAGGAATAAATGGTTAGTGCTAAGTCCATGGGCAGCATGTTCTGTGATGGCTTCAAGCTGTCAATCATCCAAAAACGTAATTCAAGAACAGCATGTGCTGAAAGGCCTCATATTCATGCAGGAAAACAAGTTTATTTAAATGCATTATGTCTTCACCCAGGCTGAGATGGAGTGATAATTCGGTTCCATTAGCTGAGGAAAGGAGCACTCAGGAGGGGAAAGGAGGGCGAAAGGAGACAGGGAGAGGGACAGGGCTGCTGGGAAAGGCTGGAGAGGGGTTCACCATTCAGATGCAGTCACTTCTAGGCATATCCCCAAAGTCGAGCTCTATGAATCCAAATTAATACCCTCGATGGAGGGTGAACAGGCCTCCACCAATTCCTGCGGAGAGAGACAAGTCTACCCTCTCAGTTTCAAGGACTCTGACCTGCGGGAAACTAGGCAGACACTCAACCATCATGGCCTGGGAATGAAGCTGATGGGGCAGGTCTGCTCGCGAGGCCGCCTGGCAGCTGACCATGTGGCTATGCAGGGAAAAGTGGGCAAACCATCATGGCATTGTTCCATTTGCCAGCATTTTGAACATGTGTGTTTGTGAAACAAAAGACAAAATTTAACTTTCAAGGCACCTAGACAGCTGCTGAGGATCACAAATGAGTGTCTCAGTGATTTCCTGTCGCAGGAAGAGTCGGTGGGCCCTCTCGGAGCGTTTGGTATGAACAGTGGTAACAAGGACAGCCACGAGAACAGGCTGCGTCTCCTCGGCCATAGGACAACCCTGGCCCTGAAGCCTGTAATTTCTCATAAAATGTCAATTCTGACTGGTTTATAGAGTCTCATATTATCTCTTTAACAAAAATATTTTAAGAGACACCACAGCACAGAAATAGGCGTAGCATTATTTATTGAGGACTTATTATACTGAGCACCATGTCACCTCATTTACTTCTCACAAAGCAGATATACTAGTAACTGGGGTCCTGACTTGGAAAACAATGGTTCAGAAGCCAGATGAGCGACACAAGGCTAACAGTGCCCTCAGGAGAGACCTGCACATCTGGCCTGCTTCACCCGAGCAGGTCACAGAGCCGGGTGTGAATGCAGGTGAGCAGGACTCAAAGCCTGAGCACTTTCCCTGGACGGAAACACTAAAATGGGTCCTGCAGATGTTCTGTTCCACTGCCAGGAGCCTTTGCTGGGTGAGAGGGGCCTGAAGGATCACGGCATGAAAAGGAAGGCTGCAGGTACATGGACGGAATCGCTTCCATTTTGGTAAAGGCGGTAATTAGCTTCCGTTTTCAGGACTGGTAGGTTTTGTCTTATGCACAACACAAATCATAACCATGGTTCTCTTTTCCCCATAGGCCAAAAGAAGATCTAAACCAAATACGCAGCCCAATTTTAACAACCATGTGAGACCTGTGACCCGAATATCTACATTCAACCTTCCTATGCTAACTTGGATTTTTCCTGGGCCTGAATTTTATTTCCAGGGCCAGAACAAATGATTTCGAGGGCCTTATATGGCCCATGGGCCGGACGTTCCCCGCTCCTGCTCTAAGGTAAGGATACCAGTCCTGATAACTGAGGAAACTGTGGCTTGGGGATGAGGAGATGCTCAGTGCTGCAGCTGGGGTTACGGGCAGATGTGGGAACTGTGGTCTCACTCCAAAGCCCACGCCCTCACCATGAGGTCACATGTATGCTGGCAGCTAACATTGTCTCTAAGCGCCACAGACGTGTCCACAGCAGCCCAGTGATGGGGTTGGCCGCTAACCTGGCAATGGTGATAGGTCAGTCTCTGTCGGGGAGCTGAACTCGCCCCAGTAGAACCAAGAGGCTGAGCAAGCCAGCGTCTGCCATGTGGCCACTTAAAGCCATCACAGCAGTTTAAGAAAAAAAAGAAATAAAAAGAGAAAAAATAAAGAACAATAACAAAAGGAACTCAATGTGGGTGTTTATGAGAATTCTCCTTCTGCAGAAGGGAAATTCCAGGAACAGCTGCCATTAATTAAGCACCAATCATGTGTCAGGTCCTGGGGGTTTGATTTCTACGATGAAGCCTCTTCGTTTCCATCACACCAGACTCAAAACCACGGGAAATGAGTTTGAGAGAACTGAATTGCCTCGGGCAGGGACACAAGCTGGAGAGGCACAGTGAGGAAGTGGCCAGCCACGTGAATGAAGACTTACACTCTATTGTGTGAGGCTGCTTCCCCCGAACCCGTCTGAGTGCGCACGTGTGTCCATGCGCTGACACAGGGCCTAGCTCCAAATTCAATCAAGAGGAAGGAGAATGTAAAATTAAGAAAAATCAACTTTTGGGGGCGGGAGTCTTTTGAAAGAAACAGTAGAACTAAGCCTAAGGCAAATAGCATCAATTTTCTTGTGACTCTGACCTATTAACTTCCCATTAGTATTGACTCGACAAATAAATGCTGGGCCATTTCTATTGTATTAACAAGGCTGATTCTAATACCTGTGCTAGCAAGTTAGATTGAATAGCAAGGCAAACGGCTGGGGCGCACCAAACTCCACTGGCTAATCAGGAGGGTGTTTGTGTTTGTCACTCACAAGCACGCCGCCAGGAGGCAATGATCTCCCGCTCCTGTAGTCGATGGCGGCTGCATCATCACTGCAATCAGGTCTAATGACGGCCCTGAACAGTCTCGCATGTTATTTAATGCCTGATAATTTGTAATATACTAAGAGACCAGAGAAGCATCCTGTTTGTACAGATATGTCACCTTTTATGTAACATTCAATGAAAGGATGTTTAATAAAATGCCAAGGTATTTTTAAATGTGCGCGCGCGCGCGCACACACACACACACACACATATCATAAGAAACATGTATTTGAACATATTACTGTGCATCCAAACTGATTAGTTCAGTTCAGTATTTACTGTAGATGATACTATCACCCATGTAGCAATTTCATAAACACTTAAAATGTAGACGCTAAACTTTCAAATAACTAACAAAAATGAACGATGCTAAGTTCTAAGCGTTTCACCATCCAACAGGCAGACCCTAACCTCTCCCTTTCCACTCACCTCCATATCTAGTTGATGTTTACTAATCAGTGTATTGAGCAGAATCTAGTTCACCCCCCCCCCAGACATCTCTGAAACCCATTCGCACCTCTCCTTCCGTACTTTCAAATCCCTACTCCCAGCACGTCACACAGTCTGTCACGATAACAGCTCCGTCATTGGTCGGCATATCCCTACCCTGGCCTCCCTGAAATCCTTCCTCGGTACAGTAACTACAGTGACCTTTTGAAATGTAAGCTGCACCCACGACTCCTGTTCCTTTACCAGGTCCTCTAACAGCTTCCTATTGCTCTAGGGGAGAGCCCAGCCCCGAGAGGCCTGCATCCTGCTGCGGGTCTGGCTTCCAGGCTGCTCCCCAGTCCCATCCCACACCGGCTCCCCGACTCTCAGGGGCTCGCCCACACTGTCCACCTGCCGGGCTCTGACACCTCGCGCTCCTTCCTGTCAAGCAGGTTATGCACTTGCCTGTTTTGTCCCCAAGAAAATGGTTCCTGCTCTCCTTGCAGTGCAGTTAATTTCAACTCGGTATTTACATCTCAGCTCAAGAGTTATTTCCTCAGGAAAGCCTTCCCTGACAATGGCAGATCCCCTCTTTGGGCTCTCTCTTTTTTAAAAAATATATTTTTTTATTGATTTTAGAGAGGAAGGGAGAGGGAGGGAGAGATAGAAACATCAATGGTGAGAATCACTGATCAGCTGCCTCCTGCATGCTCCACACGGGGATCGAGCCCGCAACCTGGGCCTGTGCCCTGACCGGGGATGGGACCGTGACCTCCTGGCTCCTGGGTCGATGCTCAACCACTGAGCGACACATGTGGGGCTCTGTGGGCTCTCTTACAGGGTGTCTCCACAGATTTGAGTTCACATCTGCTTAAGGTGCTATTCCATTACAATCTGTCCCCCACACTAGACTACAAGTTCCAAGACAGTTGGGATAATGCCTACTTTTGTTCATTATAGTAACCCCATATCTAGTTCTTAGTACAAAATAGAGTCTCAATAAAAACCTTTGAATAAATGAACGAAGGTTAAAGTATCTAACTCAGGACTATTTATACTGAAAAACAAAAATGAACAGGCGATTCTTAGAATACTGGTGTGCCCCAGATGAATAAAGAATGTACAAGGACACTGGGCTACTGTAGCTGAGAAGAAACAGTGAGATTCTACTTTACACCCACGATTCTCCTAGAATAGACGGAAAAGACAGGCACGGACATGAACTTCGGCACGGACTGTGCGCTTACCCACTGTCGCTGAACAAGAACTCCAGGTGGGTCATGTACACCTCCCAGCAGGAGACGCCGTAGCGCTGCGCCAGAGACAGAGCGACCCCATAGACATCCTCCTCCAGGGTCCTTCACGAGTAGGCGGCCAGCAGCGGAGAAGGAGAGAGAAACACGTCACCTTGAGCAGCACAGAAAAGGCCCATCGGGACTGCTCTCCGGCTGGGAGGGGAGCAGTCCTTACTCAGACGCTCCATGTAATTCAGGGAAAGCACTTCCTAGGATTTAACTGCCCCTCTCTCACTGTGGTGCATTGCGACTGTCTAGGCCAGTGGCTCTCAGCCGAGGGCGATCTGTCCTTCAGGGGCTATGTGACTTGACTGCAGGCATTCTTGATTGTCACGATGGGGGAAGAGGAGGAGAATGCTGTTGGCATGCCAGTGGGTAGAGGTCAAGGAGGCTGCTAACGATCCTACAAGCCACAGGACAGCCCTTTCCCACTGGGGGAGCACACCCCCCTCCTGTGATGGGATGAGAGAGGGGAAGCCCTATCTGGAGCAACCCTGAAAGTCAACACAAAGGACTGTGATCAGGAGCCCTGCCGACTCAACCTGCTCTGTGACGTTCAAGTCCCCCCTTTCTGAGACAGAAGGGTCCCTTACTCCGCCAGGCCCAGGATGGTCTCCCTCTTGTACTGGTCGTCAGCGGTGAACCGCTGCACATCCACCCCCTTCCGCAGGCCCCGGAGCAGCTGCGCCTGCGTGAAGTCCAGGAGCCGCTCGTTGTAGTAGTGCAACTGCTCCGTCAGCGAAGCCAGGTCCTCGGGCCAGGCTTCATGGCCACGTCGAGTCACATGCCTGGTGACCGTCGTGATTAGCTCTTTGGGATCAGCCTGTGAGTAACAACAACATCAAGTTACAGGAAGCCCGGCAGGAGTGGCTCAGCAGGAGTGGCTCAGCAGCTGAGTGTTGACCTAGGAACCAGGAGGTCACGGTTTGATTCCTGGTCAGGGCACAGGCCCGGGGTGTGGGCTCGATCCCCAGTGTGGGGCGTGCAGGAGGCAGCCGATCAGTGATTTTCTCTCATCATTGATGATATTCTCTCTCTCTCCCCCTCCCTTCCTCTCTGAAATCAATAAAAATATATATTTTTAAAAATTATAGGAAGAAGGCGTGTCTACCGGGCACCTGCCGCTGGCACTAAACCGAGGCTCACGGGGCCCAGAGAAGACAGCCGCAGAGGACACAGTCTGCAGACCACAGAGGGCACAGGACCGAGTGCAAGCAGGTCCCTCAGCTCCTGCTCGGCTCCTCTTCCATCTTGTCTTAGAGCTATCGTCAGTAATATATTCCTGCCTTTTCAACTACCATCACCTACAACGGCTGTGTCCCCATTACCGACCATGGATCATTCGTCCTGGAAGTGGTCTCCGTCCTCAGGGCCCCTGGACCAGCTTTCCCGGAGCCTCTGCGTGCTCTCAGGGACGAGGCTGAAGCTCAGTGGCCACTGATAACACCCGGCAACGAGGGGAAGTGTCCTCTCCAGGGCTGCGTTGGGGAAACATCCTCTTCCTAGACCAGGGATGGCGAACCTACGACACGCGTGTCAGAGGTGACACGCGAACTCATTTTTTTGGTTGATTTTTCTTTGTTAAATGGCATTTAAATATATAAAATAAATATCAAAAGTATGTCTTTGTTTTACTATGGTTGCAAATATCAAAAAATTTCTCTATGTGACACAGCACCAGAGTTAAGTTAGGGTTTTTCAAAATGCTGACACGCCGAGCTCAAAAGGTTCGCCGTCACTGTCCTAGAATCACCAACACTCCCGCTGCCGAAGAAGGCGCCCAACCAGTGTCTCCTCTGCTCGACTTGGGGCTCAATGGGATGCTCTTCGACAATCCCCAGCAGCTGCTCTAACAATGGGAAATTACTCAAACAGAACAAACCCAACTCTGACAGCTGACAGGAAGAAAAATATGTGGTTAACTGGGCACATTTATTTATATTAACGTTGGTTTGGGTGTCAACGAAGCAACAGCAGCTCAGCCATGATTTTAAAATTACTCTGGGAGACTGATGACGTGAACATTAACTCAATCACTTCCAATTTCTGGGAAAACACAGTACATATTTTAATATAAGCAAATTAGGAAAAACTCCAGAATCTGCCTTTGTGTCTCAGACATGTACCAAATTATAGGAAGCTGTCAGCAGTTCTAATGTGTAAGCCATTATTTTGAGCTACAGGGGAATTTGTCAATGCCAAGTCCATATTACAAACCTAGCCTGCTGTTCTCCCTCTTGACCCTGTTAAGGAAGAACCTGGGGGTACTGATAAAAGACAGTTAAAGAAATCCTGGGTTCCAACAGGTGGATTTGAGAAAAGGCAACATTAGAATTCTCCCCAACCTCTAGGCAGACACTGAGTCCTACTCTCAAAGATGGGGGTGGGGTGGCAGGGGGTGGGGGCGTCTTCAGTCAAAAGGCCTGGCTTTGGAAACCAATTCTCCAAAGTCAGCTACAAACCCGTGTGCAACTAGTTCAACAAATATTCAGGACCAATTTCTTTGTTAGAAATATAATTTCAGATCAACAAATTATAGTCAGTAAAGTCCTACGCAGCTTAAACTACTTCCCTCTTCTCCTTTAATAAGCGGAAACAGTCCAGCCCCCCTGCACATAATTTCTATTTCCTATTCATTGTACACCACATTCGTTCATTTTCCTAAGAAAAATTTAAGAGCAAACACCGACTACTTCAGTCTTCAGGCTGGAACAGGCACAGTGCTAGGCAACGTGAGCTGAACCTCATTCAGTGCTAGCCGTCCTGGGGGCCAGGTGCCTGCTGGTACCCGGTTTTACAGAGGCGTGAGGCAGCGGGCAGGAGGCCCGAGACCATTCTGGGCAAGTGGCAGGTGGGGCTGTGACTCCAAGCACAAAGCCCCCCAGAACCATCCCGCCATATCTGCAGGCAGGGGAGGGTCTGGGTGGGGCCAGTGCGGAGAAGAGCTCCCGCCAAGGGTAAGTAAGGCCTGGCCTTGGAGTCCTGTGGCCGACGACCGACTTCAGGGATGGGCTGATGCTTCACTCCACAGCACATCCGACTGCCCCGACCTTCCTCTCACCCCTTTCCTGCACACACTCACACGGTGTAAAGACACGTGACCACAGAGGACACGCAGAGGTGGGTGTTCAACTGGATATTTGATTGGAGCTGTTTCTAAGCCCTTTGTTGTTTCCTCTTCAGTAGTAACAGAGAATTTTAGAATCATGGGCAAGAATACCACTTCCTGTTCAATCCCTTGATATGCAGGCGCCTCCTTTTAAAATTGTACCCTCATAAAGTGGGGCACGAGGGGCATCCTGCTAATTCCTTGATGATGGGTTTCTGAGTGTCTCCACGTTTGTGGATCATAAGGAGGTGCTGAGTGTACAGAAGGTTTTCAATACGTCCACATTTTGTGTTAAAACAGAATACCAATGAGAAGAGGCAACTCACAAAGTCTTCCAAGAAAGGGGACAATTAGTTATGGGAAACTAAACATGGGGACTGGGGTCAAAGAGCCCGGATCATGGTCCCTGCCTCACGTTCAGAGCCTCACGTTTTCCATTAGTGACGCTGGAGCAATTCCTCCTGTCCGGAGCCCTACAGAGATTAATGAGACCGAGTGGATGGGATGTGGTCAGCTCTAGTTCTCTACACAAACCGCTTCCTTGACATGATCACCACTTCCTATGCATTCCTCAGGGAACTTGAGTGTCCATGCTTACTTCCAAACTATAATAATAAAAGGGTAATACGTTAATTAGAGCAGATGTCTTCTGGACATCATTCCAGATGTCCTTCCTGACCAAGCCGGGGCTGGAGGGAAGCCAGCCCGGGTCCCGGGTGCCTGTGGGAGGCCAGAGGAGGGAAGCCTGGGTCCTGGGTGCCAGAAGGAAGCCGGTGCCGGCAGCCAGGGGAAGGAAGACCTACTCTTGCACGAATTTTCATGCATCAGGCCTCTAGTATTTTAATAAGAATTCTACACCTGGGTTTATCACAATTTCTCTCAAAATACTCCAAAGCAACCCCAACTCACCCCAACACTTCACCTCATATGCCGGGAGCCGGTCCATCCTTGCTGTTACAAGGGACCTGGCATATATGGCATACTGTTCTTAATATGTTTGCTCACCTTCTTGGCACTATGTGTTTTAACCAAGGTCACCTCTCTGAGAAAGGTTGTTTCCCCAGGTAGGGATTTTCCCCTGAAGTTAGGGAGGGAATAAAACCCCTTAACTAAGTGCCAGGCGGGTAATTAATCACTTTAACTACGAACAATCATGCTTAAGCTACATAATCTTTACTCCCTGGAATGGCGATAACAAACGCCCTAACCTTTGGAATAGAGATTGATAGGATTGGAATCAACTGGTATAAATACAGATGTAACAAGACAACAGGACAAAGAACCTAGACACAGAACCTAGAGACAGAAGAACTTTGCTGGAGAGAACATGGCAAAAGATCCTGGACAGAAACTGGCCACAGAACCTAGAGACAGAACCTAGCGAGAGAACCTGGTTGAAGAACCTAGAGACAGAACCTGGCTACAGAACCTGGATAGAACATGGCAAGAGAACCTGACTAGAACCTGGTGACAGACCCTAGCTGGAGAACCTAGACAGAACCTGGCTGAAGAACCCGGCTACCGAACCTGGCGACCGAACCTGGCTGGAGATCCTAACCAGAACTTCGCTGGAGATCCTGAACAGAACTTGGCTGGAGATCCTGGCTAGGCTGCTGATCAACTGAACACTGTCTCCGTGTCATTCCTTCTTCGCCGACTCCGTCCACACTTTGGGGACCCCTGGACATGCTGGGGTTGGACCCCAGCACTCATGTATACATTAATTCACTCCAAGCGAACATTACAATTCCCACTGGAGGCTGCCATGCCTGCTGCACAGACACCCTCCTACTAGCCCCATGAGGCCCACCAGAGGCCATTGTGCCTGCTGCACAGATACCCTCCTACCAGCCCCGCGATGCCCACCAGAGGCCATTGTGCCTGCTGCACAGACACCCTCCTACCAGCCCCGCAATGCCCACCAGAGACCATTGTGCCTGCTGCACTGACACCCTCCTAGCAGCCCTATGATGCCACTGAGGCCGCCATGCCTGCTACACAGATGCCAACCCACACTTCAGCATCACAGCCGCAGCCCTGCGGGAAGGAAGGACTCCAACCTCCTGGCCTCGCACCTAAGTCACTGCTTCTGCGCAGAACACATTCAAACCTCTCCATTTCCCACCAAATGCAACGCATCATCGTGGGTCTGAAAGCTGTTAGCCTCTGACAAGCTCGGAAGGACCTGACGGGGCTTCAAAACCACCCACGGTCGGTATTCAAAGGGAGGCTGCACACACCACGGCTGCAAAAACGAATTGCACCAAAAGGCATCCGAATTTAAAAATGAAAGTGCATGGAGTTAAATTATTCTATTACTTTTCCAACACTTGCAATGCAGTTCTTCGGGGGGAGTGGGTGAATAAAATATGATTTCTTTAAAGAATATGGTCAAGTCCCTGTAACAACGAAAGATTCATAAATATTCATGACAACAGAATGTTCCATGACTTAATCTCCTGCTCGCTAGTTAGAGGTAATCAATCCATTCTGGTTTATGGTCTCCATTTCTGGGCATTATTGCGGGGAAAGTTTTAAACAGGTGGTGTGCTTCCCCTCTAGGGCTCTTATTTGCTTGAGATAATTTTATACTCGGTACTTCCAATCAAGTAGCTTTAAAAAAGCACAGCACATTGTAGAAACAGTCTACCATAACGCTTTGCATTTCAGCCCTGCTGGGTTTGCTTCTCCAGAATACAAGACTAGAGGATATGCTTCCATTATTATGATTTTATCTTCTGAAACTTTTTCAAAAGAATGCTAGAAAAGATCACACTTCAGGATGCATTTATAATAATTACAAACGTAATATATTAGTGAAAACACAGAAGAAAACAATGTGTATGGCCCACTCAGATTCATATAAAAACTGTCAAACGGACACAGCTCTCCACCAACTACTTCTGGCAGACACAGAGGGAAACCCTGACTTTGCATGGTACCCCATTTGCACCACTTGAGTCTCTTGGCCATGTGCACCTTGTGTTTTGAACATAAGACCAAGTTAACCAGGACAAATACCAGAAGAAAAATTTTTCTCCAACTGAGCCCTTGCCAGTCATCCCTCTATATCACTACACAGCACAACGGAGGCGGCGTGGGCTGCTCGGAAGGTCACCCAGAGAGCCGCCGAGGTCCCGGAGCCCGTGCTGGGGGCTCAGGACGCTGCTTCTGTCAAGAGGCACAGGCCTTTTCTCAGAAAAAACGCACCCAATTATATCGATGCTTATATTCAAACCTCGTAATCTGCCTAAATTATCATCCCCGCAGCACAGAACGGCGGGGGTGGAGAGGCTACAGCAATGGAATCCAGTCGGGCTGAGAGCAAGCAACGCTTCGCCGAGCACTGTTATGTGCAGGCAACAATGGGAACCACTCTCATTTCAATTTCCACGATGATTCATCAGGAGCTAGCCACATTTAATTCCACACTCAGCGGTGCTGTTTTATGCACAGGAAGATGCTGAAAGACCCAAATAATGAGCCATTAGGTATCGCTGGGAAACTCAGCTGTACCTACACATCAGTTACTGTGCCAGGAGGGTTCCTTCAAACCCAAGACCCGCCCTCCAACTGCGAAACTGCAGCCGAAGACAGGCCTCCACCTTCCGCACAGGCCCACAGGCCCCGAGCAGCTGCAGGGAGGGCCTGGGGAGTAGGGAGGCGGGCTCCTGCCTTCAGCAAGAGCACGTGGGGAGCAGACAGCGCCTCACGGTGCCGGACAGGAACTGCCCCAAAGGGTGTCTGCTGGGAGCAGAGGAGGCTGCCCCAGGGCTCCACTGAGCTCAAGCCTCACCCTCACCTGCTGGCAGTGGGAGGAGGAGGCATTCCAGACGGGCCTGGAGGGGTGACAGGGTGCTAACTTCAGAGAAACTTTAACTCTGAACAGTTGAACATGAACTTCAGGAGAGCTGGTGTCAGGATCATGGCTGGGGGAGGTGGAGCGGCCCATTCACTGAGGCCTTTTCTGTCACATGCAGTTGACACTGGACTCAGGGGTCAGGGTGAGGCACCCCACCCCTACCTCCCGGAAATGGCCCACCAGGCCTGCCTGCCAGAGATCACCCAGGTCCATACCCAGAGTCTCGGCTTCTCCTGAAACAGAGCTGGTGCTGCTCTCGTCTTGTCTCTATTCAAAGGCTACCTTCTGAACTCAGGTCTTTGCTGACCATGTTTAAGCTGCACTCCTCAGACAGGCAGACGCGTGCGCGCACACACACACACACACACACATTCTTACCCTTGGCTGTTTGTTTCCATAGCTCCTATTACCATTTAACTCAGTATATATTTTATTTACTCATTCTGTTCATGGTGCGCCGTCCCCGATAGAATGTCAGTCCTGGAAGGACAAGGGCTTTTATACACGCAGCTCCCTGCTGCTCTCCCAGGACCTAAACACTGCCTGACACAAAGCAGTCACCTGATACATACCTGATAAAAGCGCATGCATGTAATTTGATTATTACATATGTACTAATGAACTGTTCATCAATTTTTAATCTAGTTCATATTTCACATGAAAATACGCCTGAGATATAAAAACTAGACAAAGGAAAATGACCAGAGTATGGAATAAAGTAACTGTACAAAGCAGTAGCTATCAAAAAATAAATAAAAAGGTTGGGATTCCCAAAATAAATACCTTATATCATGAGGCTAAAAAGAAAACATTCCTGTTTCTTGGCCAAAGGTCATCACAATGAAACTATGTCAGAACCACACACACCTGCCTGTGAGGACGACGCCCTGGGAGACGAACCTGCACTGTGGATGCTCCCGACACCCTCCTCTTGTCAAGAAAACTGATGAATCAGAGCCACGGGTGTTGCTGCGAATGGGATGTTTTTACATACTGACAGGTGCCTAGGTTCTGAGGCAGCAAGACCTTGGGCACACGTGTGAAATGACTTCTCCAGTCTGCTTTGGGCCAGGGGAAAGAAAGTCCTGCCTTCATAAAATCTGAACCTTGGATTTGTGTGCGTGGTGGATGGAAAAGTCTGACCTATTTTGTTTATTTATTATTTTGTTTTGTTTGGGGTTTTTTGTTAATCCTCACCCGAGGATATTTTTCTATTGATTTTTTTTTTTTTTAGAGCTAGTACAAGGGAAGGGGAGAGACAGAGAGAGAGAAACATTGACGTGAGAGAGACACATCAATTGGCTGCCCCCGGCACAGGCCAGATCAGGGCCAGGGATTGAGCCTGCAACTGAAGTACATGCCCTCAACCAGGAATCGAACCTGAGACCTTTCAGTCTGCAGGCCGATGTTCTATCCACTGCGCCAACGTGGCCAGGGCTATCTATTTATTCTTAAAGTGGTAATTCTCTTTCAATGATCCAGTGCAAAAAGTAGACCATTTCCAGTGCTGACAACTGTGCTTTCGCTCAGCAATTAACATATGAGTCGTCCAAAGGTTGGTGGCAAGTAGGCAGAATATGTTTCAACATTTCATCTGGACAACGGCTACGCTCATGTTTACAGCTTAAAAATAAAAGTGAGCACTCCTCATAGAACTGCACTGCCTGCCTCCTGCACTAGACAGAGCCACCTTCCCTTTGGGCAGTGCATTTAAAAAGCCAATTCTTCATTCCACCTCTCCTGCTACTTTGGCCTTTCCTAAGACCTTTGTAAAATAAAGCGAATGGCAGAAAAGCTGGGAGGAGACTCAGCATTCACAGTAAACGTGAGAAACTACCTCTTACAGATGCCCGGGAAGAACAAAGGCTGTCAAGCCACTTGGAACGCATTCTGGGGGCAGAGCAGACGGTACCTCCAAAGCGGTAAACACAGGCTTTAACTATTGTGGAACAACTGTACCTCTGCTCAGGAGAAGGCAGGAACCGCCGTGGCTCAGGAGTTGAGCAATGACCCATGAACCAGGAGGTCATAGTTTGATTCCGATCAGGGCACATGCCTGGGTTATGGGCTCGATTCCCAGTATGGGGCGTGCAGGAGACAGCCTATCAACGATTCTCTCTCATCATTGATGTTTCTCTCTCTCTCCCTCTCCCTTCCTCCCTGAAATCAATAAAAATATATATTATTTTTAAAGGCAGAAACCATGAGGACTCACCCTGTAAAGAGGATGGCACTTGTCCCGGAAGCATGGTGCCAGCCGGGCATAGATCTGCAGGCTGTAGTAATACGCTGCCAGGTGGAGAGACAGAGCCGAGTGGGCCTGCTTTTCAAAGCACTGGTTGGCGTCTAACACCTAGGAGGGAACGTGATGGCGTGAACTCAGCTGAAAGGAAATCAAGACCACCATAAACCATGGCCTCGCTAGTCATCACTGCAGAATTTTGACTCAAAGTTTCCATCACATCAACTCGCTCTCCCCTTGATATGACAACATTAAAATTCAGGAGGCACGATAAAGGCAGACCCTATGCATGCAAAGGCGGATTTAAAATGAGCATTCTGGCTAACATTGTAGGATTTACTCTCTACAATGTACAGTGTTCATGTAAAACAAGCAATTCGCATGAGCAGTAGCTCTTTAATTAATTCACTTTTAGGTCCTTCTTGCTAGAAAGGGTAAACTTACCTGCGGGAGGGCCAGGAGGTAAGCGAGAGCCAAGGTCATGTCACTGGGTAACGCGTCGCTTGCTAGTTGCAAGAGAACTGAACACGGGGGAAATGCATTAGTTTACTTGAGGATCCGTACGACATGCGTAGTTACTGAGTATCATGTCTTCAGTCCCATACGTTTTCAACAGACAACTGGCTCAGAGGACTCCCTGAGACACTTAGTGAAAGTCTACGCAGCCCCATCTAAATACAGACACGTGAAACCATGTCAAATGGTCACCTTGCCTTAACTCAGACAAACGATGCTGTTTGTTATTCAGACACAAGGAAGTCCTGTTGGTGTAGCTGCAAAGTCTGAGTGCAAATAGATCAAAGAGGATGGTTCCTTAAAGCGAATCCTTTGATTTTTAAAGGCCCGGGCCATGCTATAAAATTATGTTTATCAGTGGCAGCTAATGGGGAAGGTGGCCTTATATGTACTAATGATCAGAGCAACAAAATATCTTTCTGAGTACAAATCCAGGACAAACCTTTGATTACTACCATGATGATGACATGGCTTTGTTCCTGCCAGGAACACCCCTCTTCATCACAGCCCACAAAGAACAGCAGCCACTTGCTTTGATTATACAATATCGTAAAACATCCCGACCATTAACAGCTTTGCTACACAAAAATGTAAGTGACAGGCAAATGTCACAGCTTTAATGAAGGCGCATAGGCTGCCAACACCGTCCGTGTCCTGAGCAGGGGAGTGAACAAGGACCCAGGCCGCTCATTCGGACGGAGGAGCGAGCGCAGGGAGCCCCATGCAGTCACAAGGTGACCCGTGTTTAGAGAACACAGGTCCTCCTGGCCGGCTGATGGAGGGGAACACTGTGCACGATCCAGAGCAAGTGACATTTGACTTCAGAAGCAGACCACATGATATTTTTCCAGATTTCCCTGCCTAATTGTGTCTCACTCGGACTAGAAGTTAGGCCGCTGTATAATCTGAGCTTAGCTGACAGCCGGGCAGCGAGTCTGGTGGTGGTCTGAAGAGTACAGTACAATGGTAACTGGCGAATCTGGATGGAAGGTATACGGGAGTTCACTGTAGAACTGTCCCAACTTTATGCACATTTGAAAGTGTTCATAGCAAAATGCAGGGGAAGAGAAGACGGAAGATCCCCTCTGAGAACTGTCAAACGCTCAAGCTCCCTGTCGGTCACTTCCTTCCCAAACAGCTTTCCTGGCAGGCCCTCTGGCCCGGGTGTGCCTGCCTGTCTCCAGCACTCACACACTGGTTTTCCGGCCACACACAGCCCAGGACCTCCCACTTCGAGACTGGGAAAATGGCCGGTGTCAAGTACACCACCACCCATGTGCCCCCAGGGTGAGAGGAAAGGGCTTCTCTCTCTTCCCTAATCCCTAACACAAGTGTTGCTGAACTTGCCTCATGACAACTTTTCCTCCCACAACTGGACCACAGCCGCCTGATCTCCACCACCAAGTGCCCAGCCCACAACCCCTGCTAGCTAACAGCTGGGTGCTTGCAGGAAACCCATGGGGAGTGAGGCGAGTGGCCCCACTCCACCCAGGCATCAACACTTCCTCGGCAGCCCTCAGTGACACCCAAAGAGTCTTGCAAAATAGAACGCAAACCCCACCTCCAGGAAGAGTCTCAGTCTTTGAATGTGCAAGTCACTGGAAGAAACACTTGACAAAATTATAAGTAGGATCTGATGTAGACGATCCCCCAGGGTCTCGCTGGGACCCCCAGATGGCATGCTGGCTATAGACTGAGTCACAGTGATGTTACATTAAGATATATGTGTGTGTGTGTGTGTGTGTGTGTATATATATGTATATGTATATGTATACGTATACATATACGTATATGTTTAAAGAGGCCTGCCCTACATTTAGCAGTGTATATGAATTTAATTTAATTTGCAATGTTGGTTATCAATCCTTGAGTGCAATTTTCTAAAATAGTTCTCCAGCCCAAACCAGGTGAGACCTCGGCCTGGGCCTGCAAGCACTAACTGCAGAATGAGTGCCCTGGAAAGCAGTCTATGATCCATTCCATCCCAGGACTGAATTCACAGAGGAAAGCTGCTCATGTTATCGATTCGGGAATCATTAGCCATTAAATCATTCATTTAGCTAAATAAGTAATGATCAATTTTCTTCAGCTAGTTCTCATAAAAACCTTTTGTTCAACTTTATTAAAAAATCTGAAAAGTCAGATCATGCTGGGAAGAGTAATTTACATTATAACCTACTTCTGAACCCAAGTCAAGAATCACATTTTTAAAATTTTTAATTTGGGTCATTTATCCTCTATAACTCTTCAATTGTGCTGAGTTTCTGACAAATATTTGGTAATCTCAAATAGTCAAAGACATCTATTTCAGACATTAGAATTATTGATAACAACGTATTTAGGAACAAATGGATAAGTGTCTTTGGTAAACTTGAATATATTATTTTTAATTCTTTAAAAAAAATCTCTACGTGGAAAGATATGCCACCACATAGAAAATTCTGAAGATGAAATCCATATCTATATGTAATGAAGCAAATACGAGTTATTAACACACGAGGAGGAAGAAATATTTATTGGTTACTTTGTACCGTTCACTATAAGAATCACTTTGCATAATTAGCAGCTTAAAATAGGAACTCTATCATATGTATCCTTTAAAGTCTTCAATATTATAAGTAGCTGAAGAATAGAAGGTAATAAATGTCTTAAATAAATGAATGATGATGTCAGGTTAAGCCATTCAGGATTACTGAAAAGTGTGGCACCGTTTTTCCTAACTCATTCATTCGGATTTATTTACCGTCCTCCTAATCTGAGGCGCGTACCTTCTGTCGTGGGGAACACCTCCTCCCCTTCGGTTTTCGTCTCGGCCAGCTTGCCAGTTCGCAGCAGCACTTCCGCAAAGCTCTCCACGGGGACATGCTGGTAGGTGCCGTAGGTCACCTGGGACTGGACAAAGGAAGAATGCCATGGGGTAGGGGGTCCTTTTCTATGAAGACATTCTTAGAAAACACAATTGCAAGATTTTATATCTGCTGGTGACTGGAAGGATGACTTCTCACTTACTAATGCATATTTTGTATAAAATTATTTTAATCTCATAATATGTTATGCACAAAAAACAAATCACAGAAAACCAGTGCATAACATGATTAAGAAGGAAGCCACAGAAGTTAATTCTCAGGAAAATGTCCATTTTTGTTTATACTGTGATGCCCACAGCAGTGCGACCGGCACAGCGATGTGCTTAGGCGTGCTGTCCTTACCTCTGCGACAAAGGGATTGGAGAGGACAGACTCATAGAAAGGGTGGCAGCCTTGTCTTTCTAGACCTTCATTGGCTATGGTTCCGCTTCGATACGCGTCACCAAATTCTTGCCCCTAAATAGAACAAAGTGAAAAAACGGTAGATAAAACGAAAGAGAGCTGGGGTGCCGGGAATAGAGGCAGGGGGGGAGGGAAGGAGGGAGGGAGGGAGGGAGGGGGAGGATTTCAGAAGTAGCAATCAAAGTGCTTTGTGTGATCTAAAGAGAGTATGTCAGCGCGACACCGACGCCAGCAGAGCTGGAGGAATAATCACCAACTCGGGGGGCCCTGCAGCGCCTCCGAGTGTCCTGGTCACTCTGACATCAGTCAGTCAGGAACACGGAAGCGACCGCTATTACACCTATAGCAAGCTTTCCACACACGTCAGAATAAGCTTCCTAAAACATCATTTCGTGCGTGTTGCTCCCCGGCTCAGAAAACCTTTAGTAGCCTTGGACAATGCAAATAGCCAACAGTGTCAAGTCTAAACTATGTAGGATAACATTTAAGTGAGTAAATGTTAGCTGACATGAAAGGCTAGCTCTTCGCTCCCCCCACACTGGCCTGCTGAATGCACCCCACCTCCACGCTTTCTCCCATTCTAGGCTCCTGTCCATGCTGTCCGCCCACTGAGAGCCCCCTCCCGTCCCGGGCCCCATGGAGGCAGATAAAGCCATGCCCCTTCCAGTCTCCATCTCCTCCTCAACCCCCAGCCACAGCGCCTGTCCGCCTGGCCATCAGCATTCCTCATTAGCCAGCACTTCAGCATCTCTCCTCCCGTAATTACACTTCTGTTTTGCTTTCGTCAAATCAACTGTACAGCTCCTCCCTGGAAGGGCAAGGAAAGGCATCCGCCCGCCCTCCCGTGTACTGAGCACCTACTCTACGCCAAGCACAGCCGAGGGACACAGTGACGCCGCCCGCTGCCAATGATGGTAACACTTACAAGGGACACATAACAAAAACTAGACAGCGGGCACAACGCTAACACTTTACCTAAGACATACACCCTGGAAAGGTGCAACAGGTGAGACAGCGCAGCAACCGGAATCATAACCCAGTGATACCTGCAACAATGAGAGCGCTACAGACTCACACCAGTCAGGCACACAGCCTCTTAGTCCACGTACCCAACTGTCTGGGCTATCATCCTGCATTCGCCTCTTCTCTGTGCACCCCACATCCAGACCCTCAGCAGGTCCACACCCTCCCCCCTAAGCCAGCCACTTCCTGCCTCCTCCCTGGAGACCCTGGCCCCAGCCAGCACCACGCCCCGCTGGAGCACCGCAACAGAGGTCCGTCTCTCCACTGCTCCTGACTCTCTCCCGCCAGCTGCCGACACGGCCATCACAGGATCTTAGTAAAAATCCAGCTGGATCACACACTGTGTTGCCTGAATCCTCCCGCAGCTTCCCATCGCACTCAGAACAAAACCTGTGGGCCCAGCTGTGGTCCTCATCACAGCCCGCTCGAGGCCTCCCCGCCCTCTCTGATCTCAGCTATTGTCTTTCCCGCGGTCCACCCTGCTCACCCTACACTGGCCTCCTTTCTTTTCTACAAAGATGTCCAGCACCTTCCCTCGCAGAGGGCTTTGTACTCCTCCTGCTCTCCGGAGACACCTGACTTCCCTTCGAAGTCAGAACTCCACTCCCCAATATCACTCACTGTCCCGCACACACCTTGCTGGTCCTCACCGCACTCCATACCCCGCCACTGCACTATCACACAAATATTTGGTCTGTTGCTTTATTTGTTGCGTTCTATAGGTTCCTCAGGGGACAGGAATTAGACCAAGTGCTTCCCCACCCCCAGGGACCAGCACAGTACCTGATACACAGAAAACGCCTGAACGTATTTGCAAGTACTCCATGGAGGACACTGCATTCTAAAAAGTAAATCACTCATCGCCCATCTGACCGGAGGCCCCGATTTCCTAAGAGATTATCTGAACAATCTGGGGAAGACAGGACTGTAGTGACAGTGGAAGCCACGCGAGCAGGGTGCATGAGTCGGCAGAGCCCACGCAGTGGGTTTAGAAAGCAGCCGTGCTTGCCTGAAGGGGCCGGAGGTACGTCAAGGACTTCCTCCACCACTGCCCGTCGCTGACGGCCTGCAGCACCGCCCTGGTGGTGGTCGTGGTGTTGGAAAGGACTTTCATGGTGGTGGCCGTGGTCCAGTGGAGCAGGTCCGCTGAGCTGCTGCTGGGAGCGCCGGCTGCATCCTGTGATGGAGAAGGAGCCGAGAGGCGCGTTGTCATGAGAACAGAGAGTGATGAGGTGGCTCCTTAGAATGATAGGGCATGAAGACAGATAAACTGGAAAATCCATCTCTGCTATAACACAATCACGTGAAAGCAAGCACTACTGGCCTACTGTTCCTCACACACCAAAGAAAACAAAAGGAAACAACTTCATAGTGCATTCATCAGATGATCCCTTTCAGAAACACTGAGGAGGTACAAATGGGTTCTTGATTTTTTACCAATGGAATATCCCGCCAAGGAGATACCCTCATGCTTGTTTCTTTGACAAGACATTTTAAAGTGTTTACTATTTAGATTAATGAACTGTTCAGTCAAACAATGCTAAGTCTTATACTGCCACTGCAGAGTAGGTGTTAGAATATCATCAGACACAAAAACAAGCTACAGGTCAGACAAGTTGTGCTGCCCACAGGCCGCCGGCCTTCAGTGGCTCCTCTTTCTGACCAGGTCTGGCCAGCAATGGGCCCCTGTGCTGTGCAGGGTTTTGACACCTGGGGGCTCCCTCTCCAGCGGCTAATGGAGTGAACACCTGCCCATGCCTTCGCTGGCCGGCTGAGTTTCCTCTCTTGTGCAATGTCTGCTCTTGTATTTTGCCCATGCTTCTGTGGGTGGTCGGTCTTTCTTATTCATTCGTAAGGTTTCTTTTTATATTCTGGGTACACATCTCTTGTTAGGTATATGAATTGTGAATATTTTCTGCTACTCTGCAGATTATCTTTTCATTGTCTGAATGGTGTCTTTGATTAATAGAAGTTCTTAAATTCTAAATTTGTCCAATTTATCATTTTGTCACTTTATGATTAATATTTTTGTATCCTATTTAAGAAATCTTTGCTACTCCAAGGTCACAAAGTGTTTTTCCCTGACAGAATAGTTTTGCTGTAAATCCTGGTGAGACAGCGTACCACCCCATCCTCTGCGCTCAGAGCACTGCAGGGACCCTTTAAGACATTACCATAATATATTGATAGTGCAAGTGTTTTTTGTTTGTCTGTTTGCCTTCCTGACTAGACAACAGCTTTTCAAGGGCAGGGACAATGGTTATTCATTACCATGTGCTCTGAGTGTGTGAACATCCTGATGTGTCCTCTGCATCTGTGGACATGTAAGAAGTCCGGGGTCACTGCTCTATCTAAATGTTTGAAGACACATTTTCTAAAGCCTAACATGTTAATGTTTGCGGTAGCTGAGTGTTATTCAAATAAGATTTCATGTCACACTTTCCATTCCTGCTCATCTTCAGAATCTTCTTAATTGAGAAGGCGTGCCGAATGATTTGAATGTCATCAACTAACCCAAGAGTAGAACTAAACACACAAACACGGTAAGAAATGGGGCACTTAAACAGAACACCACTTCATGCACAGGAAAATCAAATCTATCGAAAAATGTCAAATAACGCAGGCTGTAAAACAACTACTCTGTTTCACCAAATGAACCTAAACTTTACACATGATGGCTAACTCAAGAGCAGAAATTTAACTTTAAACAATAAAGAATTTAAATTTAATGAATAAATGTAAAATAAAATAAAGAAAGGCAATTTAAAACGTATGAAACGTAAAAGTTTGCTCTGGAAGATAAGCGAGATCCTCACACGCAGGAATGTGTGCGATAAAAGGCTTTCTGTGAGAGATCCCCTAATGAGAACTGCCGAAGAGAAAGTGGAATAAAAAGCTCATTTGGACCACAGAGGAGATTTAATTTGGGGGCAATCCACCACGATTATAGTGTAACCAAAGGCATTAATGAGGAAAATAGTTCTCTTTCAACTTCATGTAATGAAGAAAGAAAAAAGAGGTTAGGCAAAATCCTGAAATGATTACTGCTGCACATTTTATTCGTAGCTGCATGCTGCTAATTAATTTAGAGTGTACAGCAGCAGAAATAGACTAATCCCCAAAACCAAATCAACAACTCCCAGCATAAAATTTAACATGAAATCTCATTATGTCAAGTGTGCCTCAGAGCTCGAAGGTTGACTGACTAAGACTAATAATATTTTCCAAACCTACCAGACACACCTTTACCAAACGGGCACGGGCTGGCAAGAGCAAGCTGGTTCCACATGCCACGCGTGGCTCACAGAAGGGACTCTTGTTGACCAATGACCAGAGTGAATAATCTGAGAGTTTATCTGTAAGGGCTGCTCTCTCTGGTGTCCGGTACCATCAGGGTTAATTTCTGAGCAAGCTGTTTGCCTACCATAACTGAGCTGGAGGTACACAGCCAGGAAGTTGGGCTGACCGAGCTCAAACTGAGACCAACCACTATCCCGCTCCTCCAACACCTTTAATCCACCTGCACCAGACACTGAGAGCGAGTTTCATCCTGAACTCAAATATTAAGAACGCAACCTTGGTTCCCGGCGATGCCACTGTGAGAAGTATCTGTCAGAAGAAGCATCTGTCAGGAAAAATGCCCCATGGAGTAAATCACTCCAAAGGGACTGCTTCAGTTCTGCTAACTCACAGGCCAGGCTCTATTTTAGAAGTGCTCCCTTCGGGAGTCACGAACCCCTACACATTTCTAATAAAACCTGTAAGTTCTTTCCCCAGAAAACTGAATGCCCATGCATATGCACACACATGAACACACAGAGTCACAAATACACTCTCACCAAAACTGTCTCACTATTTTAGGGGCTTTAGAGACCAAAGCCTTCTGGGATCGCTTAGCATTCTTGGCTGGACCCAGATTAAGAGACCTGCAGTTAGAAAAAATAGAGGTATATGAAGTATATTTTTATTTTCTTTTTCTATGCCCAATTTTTAAATCACTACTGCTAAAGGTATCTGAGGCAGGACAGTGAGAAGCTAAGGAAATCCCCTGGCAAGCAGGATGGGGAAACCGAGACGGCGCACGCAGCTCTGTGACTTTCTTCCTAAGAGGCAAGGCAGCTCTCGGAGCAGCCGCTCGAATCCTCCTTGAGCGCAGTTCACTTTGCTGTCTAAATAAACTTCCTTTGGCACTAGAGTTCTAGGCTCTGAATTCTTTCTTTGCCAAACTCAAGAACTGAGAGCCAACAAAGCTGCTCACATCTGGTGCCAGGACTCACTGCTTCATCGCCCTTCTCGGTCTGGACTTTTCTTATGTCAACACTGATTGGGGTAGTGCGACAGACCCCAGGAAGCCCGCCAGGACCACTTTCGTGCGAGGCAGCAGCAGAAGCCACGTGTGCCCCGCCAGCTCCTTGCTTTGCATCGAACTTTGGTGAAGATGGGTAAGTTTTTTGTGGAATTCCAGACCTCCCTGTTTTAAGGGAAGAGGCCCTGACTTTATCTGAGCTGTTTAAAGAAAAAAATTCCTGAGGTGGAACTGAAGGTTAAGGGTTGAGATACCCCGGCTAAAGATAAGACTGGATACACTGAGGACAGGAGAGAAAGATTGGTGGGTGGATTTTAACTTTGGGTTTTCAAGGGGATTTGCTCTCAAAGAGTCTGAACAAAACCTTTTGCTGGATAAATGAGAGCCTGAACTTGTTCAGCTCCAAAGATAAGGGGCATTTACTCCCTTCAAGCTCAAACGTCAGGTATTCTTAGGTGACGAAGTACGTATGTGGAGGTGTGAGGAGGTAGCCCTCGGGACAAGCAGGAGCCCCATAGGAAATTCCAACACAACTGTAATCAAATAACTGACTCGTCCGGGGACACGCGCATAAAGGCTGGTCACCTAGCCCCCAAGTCCTCGCGGTTGCATTAGACAGCAGGGAGAGAAACCAAGTCACATAAGAGGGTTCAAGCAACTCAGGAGGTGACAGCCCCTTGAAGCTCAACCTGTAAGCAGCACTCTTCAAACCACTACGCAATATAAATCTGCAGATCTCACAGTAAAACCAAAATTACCATGGGAAATGTGCCTCCAAGGCCAACAACTCCCAGTCCACGGCCCCCATTAATACTCCTGCAGATATAAAATTACTAGTAATAGGAAGCCTTCACTTGTACTTACTTAGAGAAATTGGAAGATTTAACTAAAAGTGATAGCAACAAGATGGCCGAAATGGAGCTCTTTGTTTCCCTCCATGGGGCAGCTGCTCTCTCCCCACGAGGGCTAAATGACCGGGGCTGCTGGAAACACAGGCAGGGCAGCAGGTCAACAGGAAAAATGAAGGCAGAGTTACAGGACAGGTTTCCCACCAAGGCGACCGAGGCACTAGGCACTCATTTTACAGCAAGACATGAAGGGGACCTCCGGAGGCCGGCTAAGGCCAGGGGTCATCAAGTGAGGGATGCCCTGCTTGGGGAAAAGGGCCACAGTCATTCGCATGGGAAGTGCAGGCCACCTGTCTGACCAGGGTACACCCAACATCAGAGTGCCCGGCCTCTGTGGCTGTGGGTAAGGCTGCCCTCCGCACGGGATGAGCACTCCCCCCCTGGGTGGCTCTGGGACTTGCAGAGATGCCTCTAACCTTCAGCTTGTTACGTATCTGTCTGTTGCAGTTGGGTAACCAGTCCACAGTGCCTCAGGATACCATCTTTGAAGGGTAGAGTTGCCAACTGGGAGAAATTTAACCCTAAGTCCCTCAAGAAAAAGAGGCTAATCTTGTTTTCCAACACAGCCTGGTCCCAATATAAATGGTGACAGAGAGGTTTAGCCATCAACGGCACCAGTAATTTTAATACTATCTTACAAACAGACATATTCTGCTGTTCCCGAGGAACATGGACGAAGGTCCACATACCCACGCCTTTATGGTCCTCCGGGATGACCTAAGCTATGTACCACCCGCAAACTAAACCCCTCTGCGACTGCTACACTACGCTCACAGCCCCCGCCTTAGAAACCCTCCTCCACTACAAAGTCTGAAAGAATAAGAATGCACCCAGATGGAAACATTCCAAAAACAGGTGGATGGATTGTCAGTCCTTTGCCAACATTTAGATGGCAACCCAATTCTGAGGTATTAAAAACAACTGTCCTGTTTCACAAAAGAAGTCTTTACAGGGCCAGAGGTG